AATCTGCTGTACTTGAATAATTTGCATGTTAACATTCACAATCCCACCAGAGTGGCTGGGTGACCCAGTGTCCACTTTACAAATGACAAGGTGGGGGCTAAGGTTACACAGCAGCAGCAGGCTGGGCCCTCAACTCAGGGACCTGGGTACAGCTCCTGGGAGCAGACGGCCCTTCTCCCGAGGTCACCACTTGCCACAGAAATTCCCTTGGGGGTTCTCTCTTAAACGCCATGACCCTTCGCTGAATAGACTTGGGGTTGTTGCAGCAAAGGCGTCCAAGGAAGCAGGTCAGAGGAGGCAGGGTGAGGGCTGCAGAGCCCCAGACCACACTTTGATGACAAACGGTCTGCAGAGAAAACCCAGGGCCTGCGCATGTCCTAACTGTTCCGTCCTTGGAGACACTGCCCACCTCCAGCCCGACTTCGTGCCTGTGATCTTCGTCCCTACAGAACGCCAATGCCCAACTCAGATTAGAGAGAGACTGCTGTTGAGACGGGCCGGATCAGTGGGGCAAACCTAAACTGTGATCCTGGAGCGAAAGGTCAGATGTTTCCCCTGGGACCTTAGAGAATTCAGGGAGCAGCCAACAAGACAAAGGATCCTGCTCGAAGGGGCTCCCGCGCTCTCGCCATGTGGCACTGTCAGCAACCTCTGCAGAGAGCTCCGGGTGAACTGGGGTCTGAGCGAGCCCTTACCACACTGTTCTTCCCACATGAAGTGCTGGCTATGCTAGGACTTGGGATCTGCCTCACAGACCCTAAGGCTTTAGCTGTGGGGAAAACACTGAAAGCAGCCACGTGGCACTGCGGTCACTCACAGCCCTTCACCTCCACAGGAGAGCAGAAGGCACGGATGCCCTGCAGGAGTGGTCTCCTTCCACAGCAGATGAAGCACACACGCATGCGGGTCATTTGCTTAGTCCACAGATATCAGTTAAGCCAGCGGCTCTCAACCTGTGGGTCGCAATCCCCTTGGAGGTTGAATGACCCTTTCACAGGGGTCGCCCGATTCATAACAGTAGCAAAATGACAGTTATGAAGTAGCAACGAAAATAATTTTATGGTTGGGGGATCACCACAACACGAAGAACTGTATTAAAGGGTCAAAGCATTAGGAAGGTTGAGAACCACTGAGATAAGCCATTTCATATGTAGCTCACAAATTACTTTAAAAACTCTAGTAACTTTACAATTAGACCCGACACACTTCGTTTAAAGGCCATCTTTCCCCACACAACCATATTCTGGACAGATGGTTTTTCAAGAGCCACATCATTTACACATTGCTTCTCTCACTTACCATATTCCTCTGGGACCTGCATTCCAAAAAGACCCAGGTCCTTTAATTTCTCTAAAGTTTCTTTTGGGATCTTTCCCTCTTGGTCAATTTTTCGAGAGTCCACTGCCAAGAAGAAATACATTAATTAAGCAAAACAAACTGTGTATACAGATATAAGTAAACAGAACCGTTTTCATATAATATACAATCTTGATATCAGAATCTGTTCCCAACTGGAAAATGTCTAGTCATAGTCGATTCAACATATAGTCAACCTTTTTACAGAGTGCCAGTGCCTGTTTAGTGTTCTGTTTTTCAATCTGGGGCTAATCACAGAAGTGTGTTCACTTTGTAAAACAGCAGCAAACATTTAAGAGATGTAAATGTTTCTATAATCACACTAAACTCGACATTTTAAAAATTACCACCGGCTTCTAGAATAATAGAGGATCCCTGGTGGCATGATGAGTTATGAGTGGGGCTACTAACCGCAAGGTCCAGAGTCTGAAACCAGAAGCCACGGTGGGAGGGAGATGAGCCTTTCTGCTCCCATAAAGGTTTACCGCCTTAGAAGCACACAGGGGCGGGGCTATTCTGAATTGTGGGGTCCCTTTGGGTCTGAATTGATACAATCACAATTATTTTTTTAAAAACATTTTTTGTTACTGAGAATACACAGCACAAAACAAAAACCAATTCAAGTTTCTACAAGCAAAATTCATTGATTATATTCCTAATGTGTGCCACCGCTCTCACCTTTTTCTGAATTGCTTTTCCCCCTTGAATAGAAACTCCCTGGACCCCTGGGAAAGGAAGCAGGTGTTAACAAACCCAGGGACAAGGGAACAACAAGTGATCTAAAGTCAATGGCAATGAGGGCGCACGATGCGGGGTAGGACTTGATCAAGGGCAATGTAACTGAGAGGAATTACTGAATCCCAAATGAAGGCTGAATATGAGAGTGGGACAAGAGGAAAGTAAAAGGAAAGAGAGGCAAGAACTAGGAGGCAAATGGGCATTTACAGAGGTCTAAATACAGGAATGCACATATGTAAATATATTTATATGTAACGATAGGGAAATAGATCTATGTACATATATTTATATGGTAAGTATTAAGGTAGCAGACAGACATCGGGCCTCAACTCAAGTACTCTCTCAACACAAGAACACTTTGTTCTAATCACCTGGCATTCTGTGACGCTCACCTTCCCCACATGATCTCTGAAGCCAAAATGGGTGCATAAGCAAATGTGGTGAAGAAAGCTGATGGTGCCCGGCTATCAAAAGATATAGCTTCTGGGGTCTTTAAGGCCTGAAGATAAACAAGCAGCCATCTAGCTGAGAAGCAACAAAGCCCACATGGAAGAAGCACACCAGCCTGTGTGATCATGAGCTGTCAATGGGATCAGGCTATCAGGCATCAAAGACCCAGAACAAAAATTATATCAATGTGAATGAGGGGGAATGAGGAGTGGAGACCCAAAGCCTATCTGTAGACAGTTGGACACTCCCTTACAGAAGGGTCTCAGAGAGAAGAAGAGCCAGTCAGGGTGCAGTATAGCACCGATGAAACACACAGCTTTCCTCTACTTCTTTAATGCTTCCTCTCCTCCACGATCATGGCCCCAATTCTACTTTACAAATCTGGCTAGACCAGAGCATGTCCCTGGGTACAGATAAGAGCTGGAAACACAGGGAATCCAGGACAAATAGACCCTCAAGACCAATAATGAGTAGTGACAGCAGGAGGGGAAGGGGAAGGTGAGGAGAAAAGGGGGAACTGATCACAATGATCTACATATCTCCCCCTCCCAGGGGGACGGACAACAGAAAAGTGGGTGAAGGGAGACATAGGTCAGTGTAAGACATGACAAAATAATAGTAATTTATAAATTATCAAAGGTTCATGATGGAGGGAGGGCGAAGGAGGGAGAGGGAGGGAGGGGAAAATAATGTGGAGCTGATACCAAGAGCTCACGTAGAAAGAAAATGTTTTGAGAATGATGATGGCAACAAATGTACAAATGTGCTTGACACAATGGAAGGATATAAGGATTGTGATAAGAGCTGTATAAGCAGCTCAAAACCACCAATTGCTCCGAGGAAGAAAAATGGGGCTTTCTTCTCCCATAGAGTTACAGTTTAAACCTCACCGGGGCAGTTCTACCCTGTCCCACGGGGTCTCTCTGAACCAGCCATGACTCCATGGCAGTGGATCGGAGTGAGAGCTTTAGTGGTGGGTGCAGACATTTGAATGGTAGTCGTACTGACTGGATTTCTTTGTATGGGGATTGATCTAGATTATCCCATCACAGATCAATTTTGAAATGTCCTTTCTGACAATGAATGTGACGCCACACATGGTAAACCATTTGATTGTCTGATTCAAAACGGCCAATACCAGTCCATTTCCGTTCACCAATGCCTAGGATATAGATCTTTATGCATTCCATTTTTCATGACTTCCAATTTTCCTAGATTCACATGTTTTACACTTCAAGTGCCCATTACTAATAGACACTTGCAGTTGTTTCCCCTCGTTCTGAATAGCACCCCATCGACAAATGAAGGTCCCAAAGGCTTTTCGCAACCCACATCCCCATGACCGACTCTAGTTCGAGAAGCTAACTCTTCCTTCGTCATATCTGAGCGCCTTCTGACCGCAAGGGTTCACCTTCCAGCACTCTAACTGAGCTGCAGCTGTTGGCGAAGTTTTTAGTGGCCAATTCCTCAGAAGTGGACAGCCTGTTCCTGCTTACAACCGGTGCTTGGTTGGAAGCTCCGCTTTGAAAGACCAGTGACATAGCTCCAGCATCTCAGCAACACCCGCCCACCACAGTACAACAAACTGACAGGAATTTGAGATTAGACCTTTATCAATAGCACAGCTATCTCTAAAATATATAAGAACACTATAATGATAAAGGAAATCAGACATACCTTCTTCAGTGAAGAATTTTTCTACTGGTCCCACAAACTGATTAATTTCATTAAGTTCATCTTGACGAACTTCTGGAAATGGGAAAACTTCTTTCTAAAAATGACAAGCATTTACTGATAATTTAACTTAGTGTCTTTCCGAAGGGAAGTCATACCACTTAGTGGGTGTCTCTATCCACAGTCTTTATGACCCCCCACCAAATGACTGGGAGGGCGCATGCAAATAGGGTGCAGGGGTCTACTATGAAGGGCCTGGTCAGTTTTGCCCTTCCTGTGAGAATAAAGTGAGCTTTCTCAGAATCATTAGTACTTATTTTTTTCAAGTAATCGTTCACATTAATCACCCTAGGGAATTCACATTTCTTTCTCTAGGCTGCTTGGGGAAGATGATCATTTGCTAAATTGCTGAGCGAATTGAAAGGTGAGGTTTAGGGAAAGTCCTTTGAGTCTGTGGTTCCCGCTCTGCCGGGCTCACCCTCTTGCTAAGGAGCCCTGGAGGCGCATGGAGCTGCTCACAAGGTGGCCGCTTGGAGGTTCAAACTCACTGGCTGCTCTGCGGGACCGATGTACGGCTGTCTGCTGAAAGTGTCAAGAACCCAGAGGGGCAGTTCGCCCCTGGCCTACAGGATTGCCCTGAGTCAGCATAGACTCCACAGCAGTGGGCTTGGGCTTGTTCTTTGATAATCTCTGCCTGCAGCCTTGGCAGACCATATGTACGTCATGGATGCCATGGGGAAAATCAATGAGACAAAATTCCCAGGAATTTAAACCCTCACACTGGATCGACGCTGCCATGATCGATAATCATTTTGAGGCAGACAAGCAAAAGAAACTCCATTTTTGTAAGCTGCTAAGTGACTTGCCCATTCCTCCCTCCCATCTCAAAAGGTGACTGCTAGTTGACCAGTCCATTCTCCCTCCCCTGATGGGAGAGTCTCTGCTGGTGATGATCCCTGGACACTACAATGAGTTTTGACTATTCTTCAATATAGTTTATTTTGATTATCTCTCAAGATTGTTCCCTTTGATGTTGTAATCTGAACGGTGTAATCTTGTCATGATCACCAGGATGTTGTCATCAATTTTGGTATTGTTTCTTTTATGATAAGGAATGTGCCTTGCTTTTTTTTTCTTGTTTTAAAAATTATTTTATTGGGACTTGTATAATTCTTATACAATCCATACATACATCCATTGTGTCAACCACATTTGTCAAGTACATTTGTTGCCATCATCATTTTCAAAACATTTTCTTTCTACTTGAGTTCTTGGTATCAGCTCCTCATTTTTTCCCCTCCCTCATGAACCCTTATAATTTATAAATTATTATTTTTTCATGTCTTACACTGACCGATGTCTCCCTTCACCCACTTCTCTGCTGTCCGTCCCCCTGGGAGGGGGCTATATGTAGATCCTTGTGATAGGTTCCCCCTTTCTCCCCCACCTTCCCCTTACCCTCGTGGTATGGCTACTCTCATTATTGGTCCTGAGGGGTTTATCTGTCCTGGATTCCCTGTGTTTCCAGCTCTTATCTGTACCAGTGTACATCCTCTGGTCTAGCCAGATTTGTAAGGTAAAATGGGAACAAAAAAAGCCGGGGGAGGAAGCATTACAGAGCTAGAGGAAAGTTATATGTTTCATTGGTGCTATACTGCACCCTGACTGGCTCGCTTCCTACCCACTTACTCTTCTTAAAGTACAATTAATCCATTAATTTTGCTTTCTCCTTCTATTCACACTTGCTTGAACCCTAGACTGGTGATAAATGACTTTTTCGGCCTTAAAGATGGACTGAGAAGTTCACTCAGGGCTGCTGCAGAGGGAAACGTCTTTAGTTTCTCGGTAGCCCCGCTAGCTGAATAAAGACTCTTCTAAATTTCAAGACATTATAGTGGCTGTCATTTATTCCAATCCGCAACAATTTGGCCACAGTGAAATTTCCAAAAGGAAATTAAAACCCAAATCTCGAGCCCCCAATGAAACGATAAAAAAAACAACAACCCAAATCTCTAGATGCCAGCATATCCATTCTAGTCTCAATGTATCCTTTCCCTCTCTGCCTGTAAAGAAAAAGAAATCCAAGCCCAGATCATAGGAATGTCTGTGTACATGGCGTGAAAAACTAGTCTTTTCTGAGATTCTACGCATTTTTGCCACTTTCCTGCTCAATTGTCTAATGATGTGCTGAGAGGGGACATGGCCTGAACCAGTAATGGTAAAGGTGCTTAGAAATGGTCACATTCTGTAGACCCTGAAGGTCGAGAAACCAGTACTTCCTACCAGATTAAGGGCGTCTGTGAGAGTACCAGGACCAACGCTGATGCTAAGTGCTCGGTGAGCAAGTGGAAGAAAAGACCTGCTGTGGTCTAAGGTCAGACTGGGGAGGGGCAGAGGCACTGGATAAGGAAACAGAGGGGAGGAGTTACTCAATAGAGCCCTTGTAGCCAGAGCCTTTGTGGTGCCCACCAGATGATTGGGTGGGAAACGACTATGCAAATGAGGCCAACCTAAGGCTTGGGGAGCTACTAATAATCTAAGTGAGGTGAACGGGAGTTCCAGTGGCAGACTAGGTTATGCATTAACCTAATTAATGTAGAGTAGGTTAGACTGTTAAAATGAAAAACGGGTGGTGCACACCCACCAGCCACTCCGAAGGCACACGACAGGCAGCCTGCTGCTGTAAAGATTCACAGCCTTGGCAAGCCTGTGGGGTGGTTCTACTTGCCCTACGGGGTCACTGTGAGTTGGAACTGACTGGAGTGACTGTGGTTCTCATTGTTTTTAAGGTGCATGGCACCCTGGTCTGGACGGAACCATACAAATAAGGTGTACGGAATCCTAATAAGGGGATTGGTCAGTTTTGCCATCCCACTAGATTTAAGAGAGATTTAAAAGGGGGAACCGATCACAATGACCAGTGTTTACCCCCACCCCCTCTTCCAGGGGGACGAACAGAAACATGGGTGAAAGGAGACAGTGGTCGGTATAAGATAGGAAAATAATAATAACAATTTATAAATTTATCAAGGCTGATGAGGGAGGGGGAAAATGAGGAGCTGAAACCAAGGGCTCAAGTAGAAAGAAAATGTTTTGAAAAGAATGACGGCAACCTACGTACACGTGCTTGACACAATGGATGTACGGATGGATTGTGATAAGAGCTATACAAGCCCCCAATAAAATTATTTTTAAAATAAATAAAAATAAGAGAGACCCAATTCCAAAGCAGAAGGTTGAGCCTCCTGATCACCAAGAAACGCCAGGAGTGGCGCGCTTCACCTGGTTCCTGTGTGCTTGGAACCTCCTCTATCCGACAGAGGGAGCTGGAGAGAGACAGTAAAAGGTAACCCTGGAGACTGGGAGAAGCAGAAGAGAATTAGCAGCAGCCGCAGAATCAGAAGACAGTGTGGTGGGCCCCACAGAGAAGAGAGTGAACTGCCTCGGGCAGGAGGCCTTGTGAACACACAGGGTGCCTGTCCTTGCATAATTATCGGCAAGCTAGCAGAGCTTCGTGAACACTTTCCAGGTAAGGTAGAGGCCAGGATACGGGGCGGAGGGCCAGAGGAGATCCGCCTGTAGTACAGCTGAGAAGAGGCTGTGCTAAGTAGATAACTACCTCAGTGTTCTTGAACCTCAGCTGTAACCTGTTACTTCCTCAGGAAACCTCCAAACTATGGTCTGAGTTCTGTGGCCACCACAATGAATTATCAAACCCCACCGAGAAGTAGAGTGCCGTGGGTGGGATGGTTGGCCTCACAGTTGGTAAAAGTTGGAGGGTAGTGGCATGTCTGACCTCTATTTCAGAGGAATCCGATGTTGAAAGGAGACACGGCCTTTGCCTCCTTCCCCGAGAGCTACTACTCTGAAATTCAGACTGCTAGTCTCCTAAATGGTGAGAGGATAAACTTGTTTGGCAACATCAACCACGTGTGGTGTTTGTTAGAGCAGCAAAACATACCCAGAAAGGGCTTTAGGCACACCTGAGAGGTGGAAGCATCACGAGCTCCCTGTGAAGGTTGAAGAATGCTTACCAGGGGGGGTCATGAGGAGAGCCTCCCACGGCCACAGAAGTGGTCCACGGCCACCAACTCTGACTCACAGAGAGCAACTGAGACAGCAGATCTTTACGACACAGGCACCCTCATCTGTCTCCACCAAGCAACTCTTGGGTTTGCCCCCAGACCCAGCAGATAACCATAGAAAGCCTAACCCACCGCGCAAGGTCAAATTCAAATCCAAGTCTCCCAAGATGGGTAAGACGGCTGGATTGGGTAACGGGCTGGGAGGGATGGGGTGAAGCCAGTATATTGGACGAGACTTCCGAGGAACCTGAATAGCAAGTTCAGGTTTGGGGGTTAGCCATGGAAGCCTGGGAGCCGCTGGAATCCGACGGAGGAGGGAATGTTCTACGCAATCACAGAGGAAGCCTCGCTTAGCAACCTCATAACCTAGCATTTCCCAAATCGACCTGAAAAGAATTAGTTCGGACGCTTGTCCAACCACAGATGCCCTGACCCCCAGGACCTGGGAAGGCTGAGTTCTAAAACGCCCAGCGCGCACGTGATTCTTGTCTGGCTGAGCTCGACCCCAGGCCAGCCTGCTAGGAGCCAGAGAGCCCGCGGCGGCATTACCTTCTCGATTTTGCCTAGGAAGAGCTCCTTGGCGAAAGCTCGGCTCGGCGGGCTGGTGCGCAGCGAGCGCTGGTTCGCCTTGAACGCCGCTAGCGTCGGGCCGGCCCGCGCCGCCCGCAGGAAGAGGCCGCAGCCGCTCATGCTGCCCGCAGCCGCTCCACAAGCCGCGAGCACCTGCTCCCGCTCCGAGCCGTAGCAGCCAGTGCTCAGGGCGAGCGCCGCGTGATGACGCCAGAGGTCTGCGCGGAGGGAGCGCCCCGCCCCTCGCCCCCGGCCCCGCCCCGCGCCCCGCCGGGCCGCCAGTGCGCACGCGCCGCTTCCAGCCGCTCGGGTGGAGTGGAGGTGGCGGGCCGCCCGGCCACCTGCGTCGTTCTTGGGCTCGTGGCCCGCGGGGAAGGTTTGCATGGTCTGAAAAACCCCAACCTGGGAATCTCCCCAGGTTCTACTGCGGAGCTTGATGAGCGGCCCGCCGACTGCCCCCACCCGCTTCCTCCCAGAGGACGGGGAGCGATGGAAGCACAGGAATGCCGGCGAAGTTCTCTCTGGACCGACGCTCACAGCAATGCCGCATTTTCCGCCCGAGGGATGGCTTTCGAGGGGGTCATTTTGTCTCCCTTCGTATCTCACGTGTGTTCAGACATCCTTGGAGTCCCGAGAGATCCGCCTGTGGCCTGGCCGGAAAGAGGCCGCCCTGAAAAGAACTATTTCCAAATGCCCGTGAAGTCCGCCCGTGGAGTCTGCTGCTGTTCCCCAAACAAGCCTCGTCATTATTTCCTCTAATGTAATAAAAATGAAAACAGTTGTGCTCTAAAGTAAGTCCAAAAGTACTGCTACGAAATCACAAGAGCTTTTATGAAACAGAAAATAGCCAAGTGGGCAGGTGCTGCTTCTAAGCCCTTCCAAGAATTCTGCGCGTTTCTGTTTACAGTACCAGCGGTTCTCAACCTGTGGGTCGCGACCCCTTTGAGGGCCGAACGACCCTTTCACAGGGGTCGCCTGAAACCATATTTCCAATGGTCTTAGGGGCCAAGACACTGCTCCTTTGTCGGTCTCCAGGCAGGTACGCCCACATGCAGATAAGGGGTCACCACAACTTAACTGTATTGAAGGGTCAGGCATTAGGAAGATTGAGAACCACTGGTTTACACCAAGGGCCATGCTCCCTTCCTCCCAGGGACTCATCCAGATCCTGTTTGAGTTTGGGGAACAAAAAGAAGTCTAGAGGGGCAAGACCAGGGTTGTAGGGTGGATGAGGTGAGGCTTCCAGACAAGATTTTTCTAAGACAGCTCTGGCTACCCTCTAGAATGAGCAGGTACATGGTCATGATAAAGGAAAATCCCTCAGCGATACTTTCCTGGCCTCTCTCACCAATGCAGCTTTCTGTTTTCTTAAAATTTCTTCATGGGCAGATAACATGATTATCCCGTGTCCTTTGGGAAAATTTAAGATTACCCCTTTGGGATCCCCAAACAGTCACCCAAACCTGAGCTGACCTCTCTGCCTCAAATCTCACTGGCCCGGAAGATCCCCTAAGAAACCACTGTTCTGATTGGACCTAGCTCTCTGGATCATATTAGTAACCCAAGATTCACTCCCAGTTCCAGTGCATTCTATAAAATCATCTTCCGTCTGTTCACGCTTGCTTAATAGAACAATGGAATGATCAGCCTGGAGCTGGCTGACCTCTGGGCGACACTTAGCACCCATCCAGCTGAAAGCATGCTGAAGCGAAGATGTCCCTTTAAAATGGAAAATGTGAGCGTCCTGTTTTTAGTAGTTATGCCACCCATAGTAATGACAGGGGGGAAGAGAGTTAGCCTGCTGTTAATCCGTGCTGGGAATGTGACCTGGCTTGAGATCTGGTCTTTTTAAAGTTGGGTTTGCAGAAAAACGCAAATGCAACAGCCACTCCCTCCGCCCCCTCCTTACAGCAAAATTCCCTTTTATACGTAAGAATGTTCTAAGTCAGCAAGTTTGGGCGAACAAATCCATCTGGGCAAGCAAGGCCTTTTAGATAAGGAATGGAGCTTGAGGCGCTGACAGGGTGACAGGGTGCCTCCCATTCTGTGAACCATCTCCTCCTGGGCCCATTGAACAAGCCTGGCTTGCCACATAGTGGGCGGTATAGAACATGTCTGCCTTTCACGGACATGTTGACGCGGATAGGGCAGACTTTCACCCCTCTGCTCTCTTCTGTCAAGAGCTTGCAGAAAGAAAAGTAGATTTTCTCAAATCAACCTGCTCTCTGTATTTGGCTAAAATAGTGACAGGCACCCCGAATCTTAGCAGCCGCACCATGTGGGTGACCACAGAGCTGGGACTTTTGTGGAGGCCTTCCTTCCGGTAAGCTGAGAACCTTCTTTGCTGGGGATCCCTGTGGATTTCCTTGGACTAGGGGAGCCATGAGTGGGAATACCGTAGACCGAAGTACTCACGGCCGCCGAAAGTCGTGTTTTCTTTGAGAGCGTCTGGGCTGCCACCCTCCGTCCAGAGAGCAGACGCAGAGATGGCGTTGAGCCTTGGTGAGCCCTCCCTGCCTGCTCCCAGCAGGCGCTCCCAGGCATGTGCACGTTCAGATTTCATCGAATGTTTCCCATCTCGGAGCTGATGGTTCAGCAAGTGGCTCCTGGCCCCCACCTGGGTTTCTCACGGACTGGGATTCGGGCTCCACACAAAACACTGGCACTTCTGAACAACAGCCGCCTAAACCTCCTTCTGAACCCTTCGCTGAGATTTCCCAGGGAAAAGCTCGGTCAGACCCAGGAGGCCTGCCGGAGGGGATACAGAGGTCGCTTCCTGAGAACCTCTGGCTCCTCCTCCCCCTTCACCTCCTGCTTCTCGCTCCTCTTCTCCTCTGGCTTACTCCCCCAAAGGGCATGAGGTAAGAGACTCGCCTCCATTGGTGTCCTTTTCCCATCCTTGGTCTGGTACTCAATTTGTCCAAGGAGATGCTGTGAGCAGCAACAGGGACCATGGAGTCACTGCAAGTGGACAGCCGGCAATACAATGCTGGTCACATGTTCCTTTCTCTACATCTGATCTAATCAACTGGAAACATACGTACCCCTCCTCCTGAAAGGATCAGGACCGGACAACGGGCGTAAGGGACACGCTTGTGCAGGCACTGCCGAAAACTGCTCACAGATCAGGAAAGAAGGCTTGTTTGGGATAAGGCCATGGAAGAAGCTGGACGGCTTCATGAGGAGGACCCAAGGGGACCCCGGGCCCTGCAGCCACCATGCTCCTCACTGAGCTCAACGGGACCCCAACATGAAGGAGAAACAGGGACATTATAAAAGAGGTATTCTGGCGGGAATGAGGACAGGGGTACCCAAGCAGGACCAAGAGATCTGATCACTAAGGCCCTGTTAAAAGAACTGCGCCCAGGTGTGGCCTGCTGTTCACCCTGCAGAGTGGCTTTCCTGTCAACACGTAAAACTGCACATCAAATGGCCGTAGGATACCGCGTGGAGGCTCAATCCATCAAGAAAGGTTGAATGGATAAATTACACTCCCACTTTCCGAAGGACAGGGACAAAACTGTATGAGGAACCACAGCTACAACAAAGCCAGGTATTGCATCTTGCCCTGCTGTCTCCAGGTGGCTCCCTGGAGTAGACGCACATTGCATCCCTATGAAACTGCGTATGGAAAACCTTTACAGGCAACTGCTCATGCTAATGATTTTCAGTTAGGAGAGCGGGTTAAGGGAAAGGCCTGTGTGACTCCGGTTTGTCGATAGTGCATCATCTAGCTCTTCCTGGGGCGCCTTTGGCTCCTACAGGTTCTCTGCATAGCATGCAGCCTAGAGACTATTCTGCTGAAGACATGGAAGACGACGTCCTCCTGCAGGACCAGCTCCATGAGCAGGGAACCAGACCTCGGGCATGCTCCTGACCACAGCAGCAGCCACACCAGCTTGCCTTGGCTACACCACACTGAAGTGAAACTGGTCACCTGGAAAGACTGGCATGCAGAACCCACTGGACGAACAGAAAAGGCACGTTTCGGGGTCTTAATCATGCCTTCTTCTTACCAAACATCCCAGAGAGTGTGCACGGCCCGGGGTGTTAGCCCTCTCCAGGAGGATGAGAATTGGTTGGGCATTATTAGCTAAGAATGTGGTGAACATTTCAGACTTCTGTCTAGCCAGTAGCACCTGTGTGGAACAAATCCCCCCACTACATGCTTCGTAGAGGTCAGCACCAGCATTTCCAACTTAAAAGACCTCATAGACAGGAGATAATTTACATCAGCAGTGGGGAATGATACAGGGGGAAAGAGTTAGCCTGCCGTTAATCCGTGCTGGGAATGTGACCTGGCTTGAGATCTGGTCTGTTTAAGGCTTGGTTTGCAGGAAAACTCAAGTGGAACAGCCACCTCCCTCCTTACAGCAGCATTCCCTTTTAAACTTAAGAATGTTCTAAGCCAGCAAGTTTGGACAAACAAAACCAGCTGGGCAAGCAAGGCCTTTAAGACCAAGGAATGGAGCTTGAGGCCCTGACGGGGTGACAGGGTGCCTCCCATTCTGTGAACCATCTCCTCCTGGGCCCCCTTGCCCATTGGTACAAGTGTTCAACAGTCCCTCCGCTTGCCACGTAGTTGAGGGGATATAACTTGCTTGCCTTTCACCGGATTCTTGAAGCTGCTTTAGGAGGTGTTAAACCCACTGCTTCCTTCTGTTAGCACTTGAAGAAATAAGCTTAGAATTTCTCCAATCAACCTGGTCTCTGTATTTGGTGAAAACCATGGCAAGTCTCCTGAATCTTGGCAGTGGCATCGCGGTTGGGTATTCAATGAGCCATCTCAGGAGGGGGAAGGGAGTAGAAAGTCCAGTCTCTCTCGGAGCTGCTGGTGGTTTTGAACTACCGACCATTCATTTCAACTGCCATCAGGAAAGAAAAGCCGGGAGTAGACGATGTTCTTTGGAGCTCAAGACATTGGCACACTGAACCACCTTAATGCAAGGACAGAAAGTTGTGACACCTGAGCTGACAGCTGAGTGCCTTTGGGAGTGGAGTGCTTCCAAGCATTTAACTGGGAGAGCTATTGCTGGTCCAAGGAGCCCTGGTGGTGTACTGGTTACTCATTGGGCTTTGAAATGACTGGTCAGTAGTTCAAAACCACCAGCAGCTCCGAG